TACTCAAATGAACTCTAGGAGAGCAGAGATTTTGTTTGTTTTATGCACTGCTCTGTGTCCCATACCCTAGAATGGTGCCTGGAACAAAGATTTTTTAATGAATGAATAGCTTCCCCCTTCTGGAATGTTTTCCTTTCTGCTTGCCTAAATCCTTTATATTCCTAAGTCCTCATCCTTCTGTGAGCCTTCATTCTCTTGGTTTGTTGTAAAAGCATCATTTTGTGCTACCCAAGTGGCACACCAGTGCTGCTTATTGGTTACCTTTTCCTGTGTATAGAATGTGTTCTCAACAAGTGGATTTTAAGCTTTACAGGGACAGGGACTGGGTTTCAAGCATCTTATGCCCCTCATGTTCAGAGCCGCACAAAGCAAGGGTTTCATGCCTCTTGTGAACTGATTGGTTAAGATGGTCAGCTGGGTGGGTGTGCTGTCGACAGCTTTGGCTTGGTTTCAGTGCACGGGTTCTCAACAGGGCAATGTCATCCCCTGGGAGGGGGGCAAAAATAAATCAGTTGAGGGGGAACATGAAAAATATCTTAGCTATTACAATAGTTTGTGGCCCACCAAAGTTCAACTCTACCCAGCAAATCTTATTCCTTAGTATTTAATTTCACGTGGGATGGGTGGGTGTGGCAATCAGGGAAAAAAATCTAAAAGGTCTTCATAGGGAGGAGATGATGAAAAGAAGTTTGAGAAATACCCAAACATTAGTACTGTGGGAAGCTGGGACCCAGAAGGGAAATGGCTGTGTGAGAACTGCATGATGAATGTAGGAAAGGACTCCATGGGTAATCGAATTTAACAAGGACACTCAGACTGGCCTCTCTCCAGCACCCCTGTGGCAGGTGTGCCTCTCTGCCCTGAGCCCTGCTTGGCTTGGTTAGGTACTCACTCTGGGGAAAGCGGGGCGGGTTATCGTTGACATCCGAGAGGGTGATGTTGACTGTTGTGGTCCCGGCTAATCCTCCAAGCTGCCCTCCCATGTCCTTGGCTTGGATAATCACTTCGTAGTATTCTTTGGCTTCTCTGTCCATGTTCATGAGCGCCGTCCTAATTACACCTGCAGGATAGAAATGACTTTGCTTTTAAAAACAAAACCACAGATCTAATTTTTAAAAGATCGGTTTCTGTGTTTCTCCCCTGTGCACTGTTAATGTCTAGAGTTGAGATGCAAGTCACCATGTTTTACTAAACTTGAGGTAAAAATCCGAGCTTCAGAAAAGTGCTGTGCGGAAACCAAAGATTTGCTGGTTTCCTGTGGCGACATTCCTAAAAGCAGACAGGAGGTGGCAGCAACGGTTCTCCTACAGACCTGGGCAGCCGCATCCAAGGCGAGTTCAGACTGCTCTGTTTCACCAAAGAAAACTGGGGCTTTGGGTCCAGAAAACAAAACCTCGTATGTCTACAAATCTGTGAATCTAGATAATTCCCCTTCAGCTCTTCAGCCCCTAGAGCCCTTGCAGTGTGAATGACTCTTTTTTAGGTAACTCACTCCTTTTCTGCTTTGTCTGCCCTCCCCACTGCCCGTGAGCAGGGTTGGAATTCTGATTAGATTTTCCTTTTGTTATGTATTCATTCTGTTTTGTCGTGTTCTCCTGTTTACCTCTGTGCTTTACTGAATTCCGTGCGCTAGGACATAAAAGATGCTCTGCGAGTTGTTTATTTTTACCATGCATAAGAAATGAACTTCCCCAGACAGTGAGTAGCAGCATCGCAGTGTGACGATACGGTTTCACTTAAGAAGAGGGGTCTAAACCACAATCCATTGAAATGTGTTGTGCTCCTGCCAAGGATGTGCAGTAATGTTTTATCTCCCTTTTAACCCTTCAACTTAGAAAAGTTGACTTCTATGCACTCCAGGCAAAGATTAAAGGCTCACTTACTGCTGGTTTACAACGTGATGCTTGGCTAAACAGACCTTTTGCATGGAAAGGGAAGGGACTAGGGACAACAGTCTGTCCACAGTTTACTCTCATAATGTATATGTTGCATTATAGTAGAAACGTTCTAAAGTGAAATATGCAGCATTTTCCTTCTTCACATGCCCCCGTGGGCACAGCAATAACTATCTTTTCATGTATTTTTGACCTTAACACTACAGATGCCCCCTGGGAACTGTCAAAATCATGTAAGATTCTTCTTAGGATGTAAAGGACACATTGCCCTCTTCCTGCCTGTATTTTTCTTCCCTTTGGGCACCCCTTCATTGTCCCTGTCCCCACTGGTAGAACTGTTGAAGTTACTGTTTTTATAGAAGTCCCTAACTGCAATCTTTTTTTCTTTCCTCCTACTAATTTACACTCTCTCACTTACTACTTTTATGATACAATTCTGAATGTCTCGTTCCCCTTAGGACTTCTGGGGAAAAGAATTCTATCAGGTTGCTAATAATAGAAATGTGTTTTTTCTCTTTACAATCAAGAGGTGACTTTGAGTGTTCACCATTAACTTTACTCTGAGGCTGTGTGTTTCTTTATTCAAGTTCCTCGTCAATTACCCTTAGGTCCTCTGTTTTCTCTTATATAAAATGGGAGTAATAATACTTCCTATATATTTGCTAGTTCACAAGATTATTAGGAGGCTAAAATACGGTAATGTTTCTGAAAGGATGTAACAAAGGAGAAAGCCTGGCGCAAGTGCAAGATAACGAGGATATAATAATTATTCTGCTATACTCAAGCAGTATTAAAGGGAATCATCAGAGATTAAAATATAAATTCTGTAGTCAAAGTTCTTGGGTAAAATGGAAACAAAAAAAAACAAAAACAAAACAAAACCCCCAAACTTCTCTTAGTTAGTCCTTTTCTGCCACGTTGCTCCTTGCGCATTCACTTCTCCCTGCTGTCTTCCCTGTTGGAGCTTCCCAGTCTATTTGGGGGCCACATCCCATGTGCTGATTCTCCCCTCATCAAGGCCTGTTCGTCCCAGTAACTGTTCGTTCTGGCCCTGTTCTCGCTTCGTGCAGAGAGGTTCAGTGGAAAGAACAGCTGACCACACGTCAAGGGACCCGTATCCACTAGATGAACCTTGTTAGCCCCCGGTTTCCTGACTTCCTTGTCTGTTAAGCGAATGGTGATGGACTGGATGATTCTCCTAAGGCTCCTTCTAGTTTCACAATCAATGATTCTGTTCTCCAGGGAGCCTCGGTGAATGTGTCAGCCATCTCAGGTCATCTTGGGGTTATAAAAGACCTTAGTCCCTGGGAATAAATATAACCACAGGATTTTTGGAAGGATTTTTGTGTGCAGGCAGGCGCTTGGCCACTGCAGTCAGACACCACATGCTGTCTGGGCATAGTTCTGCTCTTACCCACCAGGGTGGTGCTAGTTCGCTCTCTTAATCCTAAAGCTCATAATAATCTTCTCCGGTTAATACACTCCCTGGAGAGTCCTTGAAAAGGAGAGTTGGGCCTGTCATAGCAGCAGCTATAAATTATTAGGGAATAAAGCAAACACCCCTGACTCGACCCTTGCGTCAGGTACCTGTTTTGGAGTCCACAGAAAAGTACGGCTGGCCCTGGAGAATGCTGTACACAACCCGAGCGCTGTTGCCGTAGGTTGGGTCGTCAGCATCTGTGGCTGTCACCTGGATAACAGAGGTACCTGGGGAAGAGAAGTGGCGGAAACCTGTTCAGGTCCAGTGGCTAAAGTCTGTATGCAATCCTGAATGGTCAATCTCAGAGCATTTGCAAATGTTATGTTTGCTTACTGGGAGAGTCCCCTTTCTAGGACAAGCTTCCGTAACTCCCATCTTGTACCTATTTAGTGGGGTCAAGCATTATTTGAGTTTTAAATTCTTTATAATAAGTAAGGACAACACAGCCTTTGGGCTCTTCATTGCTCTTTTAGTAATATTAAAATACTTCTCTTTTACGAATCAAGTATTCTATCTATATACTTTTCTATCTAATCTTTTGTTTTTAAAGAATCAGAGCTGAAAATAGTAATAGTCTTATTATTATTTATTATGGCCAATTCCAATGTCTAAGTAGCTTCCTGTCGTTTTGGTTCAGTTTTATAATTTGTGAGCTGTTCCTCACATACTCTCCTTTCTCCTTCTCTGCATGTGTGTGTGTGTGTGTGTGTGTGTGTGTATGTGTGTATGAGTCTTCTGTAGAACAACTGCTGTCTGTGAAAATCAGTGAATCGCCACCTTACCCACTGGTGACATTTCTGGCACGGTGGCAACATAAGGTCCGTCCAGGAACTTGGGCTCATTGTCATTGATGTCTTGGATTTTGATGATGAATTCTGACTCTGGCTCCATCGGCCTGCCTGTTCTCCTATCCAGGGCTTGAGCCCTTAAAGTATACTGTGCTCTTTCCTCTCGATCGAGCCTCTGAATGGCGTGGATGTCTCCAGTGGTGTCGTCGATGGTAAATACGATTCCTGCGCCTTCTCCTGAGAGGATGTATTTGATGGATCCATCTCCCCTGTCCATATCTGAATGAAGCTGGGGAGGAAAAAGCACCAGATTCTCATTATGGATACAAACAGGTGTTGGAAATAAATTGATTTTCAGTTTGGTACAAACTTATGACCTTCCTTCACGTAGGAAGATTTTTTTTCCCCACTCAAATGTTTAAGAAGCCTGTCTACAAAGAACTACTATGCACTGAACATGATTGTATCAAGGAACAAATATAGGTTGATGAATAAGTAAAGTTTTTCCACATCACATTCAGTATCCTCTACTCACTATTATATTTTACGATTTCTCTCCCTGAGAAGTATAGAAAACAGGAACTCTGGAAAGTATAGTTCCCCAAAGTGAGAATAGGAGCAAGTCTAATAAGAAGGAACACTGTCTTTCCATTTAAGAAAAAAATAAAATGGCAAGCCTAAATATCTTTAAAAATTGCTATAAATTAATTTTTGGGGTATCAAAAATTTTTATGATTCAACTTGGCTGAGAAGCTGATGAAGTGATTCATGACTAGGTTAAGGCCACTGTAGTGGGAATACTAGTGACCTTCACGGACCCTTGTAGCTCTCCAATTCTGTGATCCCAGTTCTGTAGTTTCATTCGGCATGACTATACTTCCTTATGTTTTAGATGTCAAATGGAATTTAACTGCTGGTTGTTATTCTTTCTATCAATGTGTCTCTCCTCTTGGTGGGACCAGTTCTGGGTTCATAATTGAGTCACTTAAATCTATATGTGAATGGTTGAGTTAGGGACATGCTTTTATCTGCCCATCCAACTATATTCCTTCCCAGATTGATTAATAACTCTCAAAAGGAGTCCAGGAGTACTGTTTTTTACCTCAGGCCTAGATATTTCTGTATCTATAATATCTAATTGTAGATAATGTGTATGGGTGGCAAGGGCCCTGAAGTTTTCTGCTATCCTATGGGTAATTGTTTCTTTGTCTCTCTTTAAAGGGGGCAACAAAAAATTACTTAAATGTAGTCAGTCACCACTAAATCTGTTGTTGCTTGGGTTGTTAGCACTTTGTATAGTTCAGCGATGAAGTTCATGAGATTAGTTTATAAAACAGATGACCAGTTTTTGGTTTAAGGTGGGGAAGCAAATACATTTGGCCCGAACACTGTCTATACCAGTTATGAATTGAGGGTCCTTGCTAAATTACTTTATTTTTATAACTGTTAATTTCCTCATATTATAAATGTGGAGAAGAACACTAATAATTACTGGGAAGGGTTGTTGGGATCATTAGAGATTAATGTATGTACAGCACGTACTTTCCCATAATAGCAACGCTATAAATGGGACCAATTATGACGATGACATACGTGCATAGAGAAAAGGGTATAACACACCCAGCTCTTCTCTGCTCCCTTCAACCCTCCTGGAGTGCAGCAGAGAAGACAAAACAACTTGTTGGCTGTTTTGTTATGCAAAGTCCAATGGTGAAAGCTGCAGAAGGCTGCCTGAAGCAAGGCTGGGACAGTGTGACTCTGAGGATTAAATGGCAGGGACACCAACGAGACTCCTGAAAATGTATTCATAACATCCTCAGACAGGGATGGGTTTGGAGGTTGTGTCTGGCTTTGAGCTGATCTCAAATTGACTCACGGCCAAATCACGCAGGCAACGGTTTTGCTGCCTGGAGAAACTCAGTTGTGTCTTATCTAGAGAAGGGAAATAAGAGAATAAAATTGACTTAAGAAATAGCTGTGGATTTTATTTTCTACTTAAAGTATTCTATTTAGAATATGAAATTCTCACATTTCCTCATTCTGTATACAGTACTATCATTCTTTCTTCCTTTTTTTTGTACAATCCAAATCTTCTACTTACGCAGTTAAAAAAAAGTGGAGGTGTCCAGCTATTATTGTACGGAATAGAAAGCCATTTTATTTGGAGCTGGGTACAAAGAAATGGAAATCTATTCCATTTGGAACTGTGTTCTGAGGCAGAGGAATGAAATTGGGAGGAGAAGGACAAGGATCTCAGGATGTGTTTTAAATTAAAATTACGTATATAAAAAACTATGTGTGCCTGTGTGTTTACATACATATAATATATACATATGTATCATAATTTTGAGGCATGCGGCATAGGACTTAGAATGAAATAGGCTAATTTAGGGCATGGCAGATTATTTTGGGGGGGGGGAATAGAAGCTGACATGAAGGACATACTCAGTACTATTTTGAGGATCTATTTGTGATCTAAAAAATTTTGTCCTGTGAACCTTAAAAAACTAAGCACACTTGTGATCATCGTAGGCCAAGTGCACATGCTCGTGGGGAGTGCTTACTAAATAGCAGAGGCCACACTCTGCTGCTGAAGGGGTGACCGTGGTTCCTGAGGTTCCTGGCTGGTGTCACACGGAGTCTGGCCTGAAGCTCGGATCTGTTTTCTTTGCTTTCATCCGTGTTGGGAAGAAGAATTTGAGGAACTCGCTGGCCTGTGAGTTCCTTGAGGCAGGGGCCATGTGATTGTCATCTTGGTGGAGGTCCTGACACGTAGTACGTGCTCAGTGGAATTTTACCGGGAGAAGGGTATGGGGTGGGGCTAAAGCTGTTTGTGGAACGGTGCTATGTTCATTTTAGAAGGGCTAGCAAGCACCTTTCAGGTAGCTTCTGAGTGCTTGTTTGTGCATGTGCGGCGGGGGAGAGGGGAGAAGGAGGAAGAGACAGCCACAGGGAAACAGGATGCTATTAGCTATGAAGGGGCCAGGATCTGCCTACACAGAACCGATTTCTGAAGAATATAATTGTATCAGTTTGAGTTCTAGTTGGAACAAAACCTACATGTTATTTCAACAGACTTTAATATGGAGGACTGAAAGGTATAAAGGAAATACTCAGCTATCAGAGAGATAACAACTCCAGGGAAAAACAGCCAATGCCCCTTTGGCTGGGGCAACAGAGGGAAGAGGTCTGGGCTCTTGGCATGTGAATGTTTGGAGGGGGCGCCCCTCGAGGCTGGGCCTGTGGCCTCCGAGGAGGGAGTGCTGCCCCTGCGGCTGGGGCCTCGGGAGCTTTGAAGAGGTGCCCTGTCCCCTGTCCTGAGACCTGGGACTCAGGCCTCTGAGAAGGGGATGCTGCCCGTGATGCTGGTATTTCTGAGGGGGCATGATGAGGCTGGGAGGTTAAAGGAGCAAGTCCTTTCTCCCTCCTCCTGCCTCCTGGTCTACTTCTGGTACATTCTACGGGCAGAACCTAACGGGGAGTAGAGCCAGTTGGAAAAGGAGAAATAGTGGTTTGGAGAGTCCCAGCCTCAGCACCGCAGAGCAGGGTATGGAAAGGTGAGTAAAGAGCTGGGAGACACTAGCTTAATAACCCACGCAGCAGTGCACATTTAATATTCTGCTTTACCAGCCATAGAATACACATTTGGCTTCGAAAATTGCAAAGAAGAGACATTAACAGCTTTTCTCCAAGTCACTCAGCAAATTGGCAGTGTAATAAAAATGTGCTTTATATTTATCCATATTTAATTCAACTAACACTGACTGAGCACCAGCTATTCGGAGGAAGGTAAGGAGCTTCTGAGTGGAGTTGGCAGCACATGGTTATGTATAACACATCTTGTGAAAACATTTTTTCCCCAAAAAAATCTCTTAGATCGAATAAGACAGGTGAATATCTCACTTATCCTAATAATTCTTTAGTTTTTTTTTTTTTTTTTGAGACAGAGTCTCACTGTGTTGCCTGGGCTAGAGTGCCGTGGCGTCTTCCTAGCTCACAGCAACCTCAAACTCCTGGGCTCAAGCGATCCTCCTGCCTCAGCCTCCCGAGTAGCTGGGACTACAGGCATGCGCCACCATGCCCGGCTAATTTTTTTCTATATATTTTTAGTTGTCCGATTAATTTCTTTCTATTTTTAGTAGAGGCGGGGTCTTGCTCTTGCTCAGGCTGGTTTCGAACTCCTGAGCTCAAATAATCCTCCCGCCTCGGCCTCCCAGAGTGCTAGGATTACAGGCGTGAGCCACCGTGCCCGGCCTCTTTAGTCTTTAATATCTTCAGCCAAGGGAGTAGCGAATGATGGGAAGTGCATGCGGAATCTGAAAACTCTTAGTTGACTTAGGATTTTGAAAACAAGGGCGATTTTCCCTCCTTTTGTCATCTTTCAGAGTGCCTTAAATAGTTCCAGGAATGCCGTAAGTGCTTACAATTTGCAGTTAGACAGCTTCCGTGTAGTTGTTAACCTCGGCATGACTTGGACCTGCAGATTCGTGCACAAGCACAAGCTCTCTGCACCCCCTCTTTGCATATGTCAATATAATCTAGCTTTAACACAACACTGCCTTGTCCCTGGAAAGCCCAGTGTGGATTTTATAAGGCCATACCAATTACAGCTGATAATTGTTGCCATACTCCTTTCTGAAATAAGCAAATACTCTGGCAGGCTCTCTAAACAGACATCTTCCAGAGCTCAAGGTGACAAGCGGGATGCCCCTGGGGTAAAGAGAATGAAAGGTAGATGAATTCTCTTTCAAAAGACAGTACAGGGGGAAAGTGCCGGGTAAGTGAATATGTAACTGTCTTCTTCATGTGGAGGTAACAAATCAATGCAGGGTAAAATCCTTCCCTGGATGCTGGTGTGCTGATTGGATCAAATGACTGTCGAGATGCACGGGTGTCCTGTATCCTGGGTTGGGGTGATTAGGAAAGGGTGTACACTAATTGTCAGTACTAGAGGATGCTACACAGCGAAGTATTCCCCAACGTCAGAGATAAAGGGATTGGGACACAGTCAGGCTCAGGTGGATTCCTGATCCCACTTTGACACCACCGACTCTTCTGTATGTCCTTGGGGTTAAGTCTAGAGCCACATGCGGGTTAATATAAAGGAAAGCCTATGGCTTCTGTGTAAGAGTGATGGATATTTCTTCCTGGGATTTACCTGCTAGCCATGGTCTAACTTTGGGCAATGCACATACCCCTTTGAGCCTGGTTCCCTGGGTTAATTATATACTTACCTCATAGTATTATCATAATGATTACATTATAATACTTAACGTGAATGTGACTGACACATGGTACATGGTAGTCCAATAAAAACCTTGTCTTTCTGCACTTATGTGTGGCCAGTTCTGTGCTAGCTACTCAGTGTCACGGGGATGTAAATGAGGTTGGGGAGGGGAGTCTCCATTTCTACCCTTGGGAGGAGGGAGGAGAGCCCTCAATTGTACATGCACACAAAGCAATTACTGAGTACAAACATATTCTTTGCTTAAACTTATTTTGGCAGTAGCCGTGTATCATGCGTCTATTTGGGAGAAACGTTTTACAAATATGGAGAAGCTAGAAGTCTTTGGAATTCTGAGCAGATGGAGGATGTGTAGAAGTGGCTTTTACCTGGAACCCAGAGGAATTTGAATGTGGTGTAAGAGAGGAGGTGACCGCATGTCCTGGCAGGGCAGCGGTGTGGGCACACATCTGGGCTAGGGATAAATGTGGTACGGGCGTTGGAGCCAGTAAGCAGATTCAGCTTGATTGGGATGAGGACCTGAGTTGAAAAATTGTGAGACAAGGTTTTGAGGGAAGAGGAAGTCCTTGAAGTACATGGTGGGAGCTCTGATGAGCATTCGAGAGCTCCAGTGCTTTCTTAATCAGAGGCAAGGGTGCTTCAAGGAGAGAAATGTCCTGAGCCCTGGAGGAGGGATGGGAAGACCTCTCCACAGGGAGACAGGCAGCTCGGGCTTAGTTAATCTAATCATGGAGAACAGAGGAGCGGGTAATGACGGAGCCTGGAGAGGAAGACGTGAGTGTGAGAGGAAACTGGCATGGAAATATTGGACAGACATGGTGACTGATTGTACATGAAGGATAAAGGAGACAATGAAAGGAGAAGTCAAAGAAAATTCACAGGTTTTGAGGCCAAGGGATTTGCAGCTGCATTAGGTATGCATTACTGAGCTGCTGAATTCTCACAGTGAACTCCTTGTACTACTAGTACTATTACTACCATTAGCAGTACTGTTACTACTATTGCTACTGTTACTACTATTTACTACTACGGGATAGTGATGATTAAAGTCTTAATCTGGACCAGGTACTGTGCAAAGTGCTTTACATGTGTTAGTTTATTTAATCCTTGCTAGACCATGAGGTATTCATTTATTTACTCATTCATTAAATATTGTCTTGAGCACCTTCTATGAGTGGTGCTGTGTTAGGCCTTGGGGATGAAATGGGAGCAAGATTCTTGCTCACATTGAGCTTCTAGTCTAGTCAGGGGCTTCAGACAATAAACATGTAAATGAAAAAATAAATACGGCAGGTTGTGGTTAGAGCTGTGAAAAAATAATGGTGGTGAGAATCCAAGAGAGGGGCCTGCCTTAGAGAATAGCCAAGGAAGGCTTAGATTCAGAATGAGCCCTGAAGGGTAAAGAGGTGACCATGAAGGAAGCCAGGGGAAGCATATTTCATTATGGGGGGACATGGAGGTGACGTTTGGCAAGTTTTAGGAACTGCCTGAAGACCATGTCCCTGGAACATGAGAGCGAGGGAGAGAATAGCACGGGATGTGTTTGGCACCAGGAGGCAGGGATGGCCTTGTAAGCTGCGGGGTGACATTTGGAGGGTTCAACACAGAGGGAAGACGTTGAGGAGACTTACATAGGGGAGTGACCTGATCTGATCTAATTTTTGAAAAGATCATGGTGGAGAATAGATTGGAAGGAAGTGGGGGGGGAAGGAGGGAACTGGCTGGGAGGCTACATATTTGCCCAGTTGAGAGATAATAGAGATAAGGGAAATGAAGGGGTTGGGGTTTATTTTGGCTTAGGACTAACAGAATTTGCAGACGGAGAGAAGGAGGCAGGGAAAAAGAAGGGTGACGCCCAGGGTCTCTGCTTCTGGGAATTTTGAGTGATGGCAATGCTAAGCTAGGGAAGACCAGGGCAGACCAGGTTCAGGAGGAAAAACAAGAGTTCCTTGTGAAACACGCTACATTTGAAAAGCCTAAGAGTCAAAAACGTGACGACGTCACGTATGCAGTAGGATTTATAAGTCTAGAAGTTTGGATGAGTGGTCTAAGCCAGAGATGGAGGTTTTGCATTTCTTGGCATAGAGATGGTATTTAAAACCACAGGGGTGGTGAGTCTACCCAGGGAACGGGTGTGGGTGGAGAAGGGGCCAGGGTGAGGCTGGTAAGCTCCCAAAACCTGGGGTGAGGTGGAGGGAGAAGATGGGCAAATGAGGCTGGGAAAAAAGAAGGAACAGCAGGGATTGTGATGGTTGCGATGCCAAGAGAGCAGAGCGAGTCAAGAGGAGGAACAGGGCAGGGCTGTGACTGGGAGGTGTCATACACCGAGGCCATTGGGTCGGATGGTAGGGAGGCCCTGAGGAGTGGTGAAAAACGCAGCTTCAGTGCAGCGGTGGGCACACAGGCAGATGACTGGGTCAAGGAGTGGGTGTTAGAAGAGCTTGTGTAGGCAGCTCTTGAGAAGTAGCAGTTCTCTCATTGCCCCCATTCAACATTTGCGGAAGCACAGCCCGTTGGGGCTTGGCGACCTGTCCAAAGTCACTCTGGAACTAACTGGCCGGCCTGGGCTTTGAACCCACGTGTGTCTGAAAGTAGAACCCATGCCCTCAGCCTCTGCACTACACAAGTGTTTAAGTTATCATTTGAATGAATTATTTATTTTCTAATTAGTTCCGTGTCTCCCATTTTCTCTTACTTGGTTGCTTTCACAAAATGGTCTCTGATTAACATCCAAATAAAGTAAACACAGGAGAAAGCCAGGATTAAAAATGAAACGATGATAGATTAAATCAAGGGAACTCGAGTATAAAGTTTATAAATATATTCATTGATTGTCTCCAACTACCCTAAAGCACATGCTAGGATCTTCTGAAATGAAAAATGTTTGATCCTTTTTTTTTTTTTCATTAAATTTGGGCCTCAGGCAATACCTGTGGAAATGCTTTGGAAAAAAAAAAAAAATAAAAAGCAAAAAAAAGTCTGTACTCCCCCCTCTGCATTTCCCAGTTTCTCTCTTCCCCATCCCGTCACTCCTGGGTGGCTGCTGCTCTTTTGGGACTCTTTTGGCTCTTGCAGGGTCAGAGGCTTTTCCTCTAAATCCTAATTTCAGGTTTTCCCCCCTCAGAGACATAGAGAAGGAGAGAAATCTTTTCTTTCTGACTGATATCTGACAAAGCAAAAGTTATATTTTAGCTACGTGTCAAGTAACCTGCCACTAGTTCACATTTTTCTCAGGCCTCAGACACAGGCTAGGTGAGCACTCATATTCAATCCGTATGCACATCCAACTTCAACGTCTGATGACCCGACACCAAGTAGGTCCCCTCCTTGGCATCTCTTACCTTGCCGACGTACAAAGGGTCGGTGCCAGTGTACTCTTCCAGAACGAAAAACTGGTTCCAAACCCAGCTCCTCTTGGTCCGCTGATGTGACCGTGGCTTGTCTGACAGGAGGGCTTCGAATTCACCTGGTGGTGTTGGGGTGCTCGAGAGAACGGAGGTCGTCAGGTCCATCAGGCCCCAGAAGTACAAGGACATGCCAAGTCCAAGCCAGCTCTTTGCATTGCTCATTCTACCAGAAGTCCACATGGGATTGCCAGGTTTTCAGAAAGTTTAGGATGATAAGCTACTGAAACTTGAGTATTTTCCAAATAAAAAAAAAAAAACAACAAAAAACCCCACAGTTTGTTGGACACTTATGCTTCCCCAATGAGATCCTGGTTCAAGTCAATCTGCTTGAAGTTGACTTCCTGTCAAGTTAAGGAAAACACAGTGTGATGATGTCAAATTCTTCCCTGCAGGCTGGTTGCAAGTTTTCAAGAAATGTCAGTAAATATTCAGTTTTCTACTCAATGAATTAAAGAATTTGTCATAACAGGTTATTGCTTTAGAGATGTTTGAGTAATAAATAATGTTTTGATAAAAAGAAGACAACGTATCTTGCTCTAATCAATCCCAAACCTTTGGATATGGATTCAGTGGGAATAAAATTGGTGAATAAATTTCTTCTCAATGGTAACTTAGCTGGAGGGTTATGCTGTATTATTGATTGGCTTGAATTAATAGTGTGCTCTCTGAAATATTTATGATCAGACAGCCTCCTAAACTCTTAAAAACAGCATTCATTTCCAAAATTTACAGCTAATAACTAATATTTCCATTAGCCCAACTGCTTTTCTTAGCTCATTAAAAAAAGTAGCAAAATCAAACATTTTTTTTTTTTGTCATCCACAAATATCTTGTGCCTACTCTTGTTATTGATAATGCTAGAAACCTTGGACTTCATTTATAAGCAGCCATGGATCACTTCTGATTTTAATCATCCTCTGAGCTGATGGTGGAATTCAAGTTTCACACTCTACTGCTTTGGCTCTGAAGTGCTGATAGGGGCTGCTAATGTGACCTTTCTAGGGTGTGAATGGTCAGTTAATCATTATAGCCTTCACAACAGACTTTAAAGTGCTATTAGTCACATGACACTGTGAGCAAGCCAAGGGAGTCTAGCCAACACATTTCCTTTCTTGACCTGAAAGAGTCATTTAGGCAAAGGGATATTAACTTCTACCCTGGGATACATTTTCATCAGTCAAATTCCTTTTGTTGCTATGAAGTCAGATTTAGCTGGTGACCTCACACATTGGCTGTGACCTCATAAACCTTTTCTTCCCTTACATGGCTTGGTTTAATGAGATGGCATAGCACTCAAGTCACTCTGTCAAAACAACCAAATTGTCTTCTGTGGGCTTAGTATTATATTTTCACTGTTAATTTGAAGAACTACTGTCATCTTCTCAGAACAAATGTGTGTATTTGGAGAGTGCAAATCTGTGCAACTAAATAATGCTTCATTTATACAGGTGGTTTAAAGTCAACGCATTGATGCTAACTCAGTGACCACCTTCCACCAGTCAGTATCAGAACTGGTTTGGGCTTCCTCTCAAATCCTGGCTATTGAAATGTGTGAAAGAATTTTTAAAAAATCTTATAATCATTTCATACAATATGTTAGTTCATTTCTGTATAGGAAATCACTTCAATGAGATCTTATAAAAAGGAAAAACCTTAGGGAGACTATAGAACTTTTTAGAATGGGAGGCTGTGCTGCTTACAAGCTCCGGCTCTAAAGGCAGATTGATTGTTAAGAAGCAGCAGGCCAGGTGAACCTCACTAAGGGTGATGTGTTTGCTAATAAAGAACAATGGTGCTGCTGAAAGGTGAGTTACCAAATATTAGCTGTTCCCTCTTTCTTTGGACCGGTGGACAGAAACCCTGCTCATGTTTCTCCGATCCTTGTGTAAGGGGGGATGTTCTGGAAGAAGGAATCTTAACCCAGGAGATGAGTTGATGAAAAAGATTGATGGGAAATAGCGGTGCTGTTTTAGGACCTAGAAAGTGGACTAAAGGGCAGTGCCCAATAAAGCTACTGCCAGAGTACTATGATCGGTAAACCACAAAGGGAATATTCCATATATTGTAAGATCCAAACGTATCTATCATTTCTCAAAGAGCATTAGACTAAGAGACAGTTTGGTTCCTGGTTCCATCTTCATTACCTCTGACTTGTTCTATGAACTTTAGTTTCCTCATCTGTTAAGCAGGGACAGTAATTCTCCCTCATTGGACTATGATGAGAATCTGATGGGATAATGCAGATAAAAGCGCTCCGTAAATGACTAAATTACCAACTGATATTCGAACAGTCACATAAATTACCTGCATCCTGTGTAAAAATGATGGAGCTGAGGCTGGAACATATATTTATTTCATGGGCACCTTTGCGACCAAATTCTGAAAGGGCTTTTAATGTGTATTATTTCTCAGATCTCACATTTGCGATAAGTACTGTTTGGTAGCCGATTCTGGCTTAGCCTACTTCTCTAATAATCAAACACTGTTTTTCCATTGAAGGAAATTTAATGAAGGATAGCTATTAGATAACAGTAGAGAAAATTCTTTCGTGAATTGCACTTATCAAAGATAGAACTCAATATATACATATACATTCTATTTAATGTATTTCCTTTAATGTCTGTGTTTCATATATGCACATTTTGCCTAAGCACACATATTGATTATTTTCTCTGGCTAGTTTTAGCAGCTTGCTTTGGATCTAAGGGTGCGTGTGCACGTGTGTGTCAGGTGTGCAGATGTCCCCTATCCTGCTTCCACTGGCTAAATTCTATGGACAGAATGAAATTTGAGGGAATTTTGAGGGATTTTAAGTAGTGCCCTTTGTGTTCCCCATGTCTTGCAAAGTAGGAATGCATTCTTGCCAATTAAAACCCCTTATTTTTACCTATAGGCATGATCTGAGGAGCTCAAGGAAAGAAGCATTCGTTGGAAGCTTTGTGATGAATATTTTGTAGGTGGTTCCGTTGCTTCTGCTTGCATCTCCCTCTCTTGCCCACTTTGGCCTCCTACACACTAGTGCAAAGTTCTCATTTTCTTTTCTTTCACTGTGCATGTACGAAAGTGGCTTTGGGGTGTTGAGGTCCCGAGGAGCCCTTGGTAATCCTGTAAAAGCTGATAGTACCCTCTCAGACTCCCCTTTACAAACCCGAAGTAACAAAGATGGCAGTGCCTGTAAACTCTCCAGGATTGTCTTAAACAACTTGATAGTGACAGTTGATGGAAAGCATTTTATTTCTGCTTTCTTAGGGCAGAATGCATGAAAAACATTCTCTGCCTAACTTGTTAGAAGGTAAAAGCTGGGTTATACAATAGTAGCATTCTTCTTTTCACAGTTAGAGCTGTTTTATACAAAACAGTTCTATCAGAAATACTAACCAGTTTGCAATTATTATAAATAATATGGTTCTCATATTCATGTTTTTTCCCTACAGGATATGAATAGCAATAATGTGTTTGGGGATGGGCTAATCTAATTGCTGTTGTTCTTATAAAAGAAGATACAGATATATGCATATTTGTATATATAGATCTGCTTTGGAAGACTACATATGCCACGTGAAGAATACATTAGTGGAAATTGACTTCTGTGTTAAATGAGTCTTTTAAAAGTTTTTCCCCCCATCCTCCCTTTAGAAAGCAAACAGCTTGGTAATGAACACAGTAGGAAGAAATTAAAGTTGTACATAAAGTGTGCTCTCAGTGAATTGTTTATTTTGTTACTTAAATTCATTGTGATATTTAAAATGTAGGAGGGAGGGATGGTTACTGCTTTCTCCTTGAAATGAACTGGGCTTTTATGGTCTTCCTCTGATTTCTTTCCTCATCGTTCCAGTTTTCCTGAGCTTTTCATGGTTAATGGAAGTGCTACTCAGCAAAGCTCACGTGACCTCTCCGTAGAAGCACTCAGTCGGCTCTGCTAGTGACTCCCCATATGAAGAGAGGGTATTTTAAGGTTCTGATGTGGTCAAATGCCTTTATAGAGGTAAATATAGATGGTGGTGTCATGGTTTTAAGCAGCTAAATGTCTTAAGCTATCACTTTTACTTATAATAAGAGCCTCAAAAATGCACTTAAAAGAAAAAAGAAAAAAGAGATTTTATGGAGATCTTAGATATTACAATGAAACATGACAACGCACCGTAAGGTACATCAACATTAAATCAGAATCCAACTCAATGTCATAACGTTATTCAGCCTCCCAATCAAGGCTCTCTCTTGAGAAATACAAACAAACCCATTTTACTTAGGAGGCAGAATCCTCTGGTATAGAGCACAGAACGCCCAGGAAATGAACAGCACACGTGGTCATGGTGTAAGTTAGAGTGAGAAGTTCCTGTGATGATCATAAATTTGAATATGTATGGTTCACAGATAACAATATTCCCATTGTGGAATTCCATAGAAAAAACATTTTCAATGTCCCTGCAAGTAAACTTTCAACATTTCTGGATCTGTTTGCATCGTGCCTGTGCTACCGACCAAAATCCGTCACTGGGGATTTGTTTTGGAAAGGATGTATATGGAACGGTTTTGCGTATGGAAAGCTGAGATGGGTCTCTGACTGGAAGTCATTTTCATTTACTTCGAAGGTTCCATACATCTCGGTTTCCTACTGGGCAGTCATTAGGTGAGTGGAAGCTCCATTGCTCTTTTGTGGCCATCGACCCAACAGCCTATTGAAAGCCACCCATCTATGGAGGCAACCACCTCTTGACAGAGCCGGAAGAGGTCGTCTGGGTACCGGATTGCCTGGATTTTGAGTTGCGCTCTCTTTTGCATTCCCCTCCTTCAAGCCTCACTTGACTCATAACACCCCCCGCCCCCAGCAACTTGTCTGAAATGGGATGTGTCTTAATATCAGGGTGTACTTATTTCTTTAATGTGCTTGTAGTGTGCTTTCCTCACCCCTCAGAGAAGCTTTTAATAAATTGATGGTGTGCGTAGAATTGAGGAATTACAATATTATCATTACTATTATTTTTTTAAATTGAACAGAAGAAGAAAAACAAAGAATACTTAATTTCCACAGAGATTTCTTAGGAAAGGTGGTCATCACTCTTGGTTTTCTAAGTTTGGTTATTTATTTTTCTATGAATTCCTTCTCCACCAAGTTCTTCAAAAACTGTGGAAATCCTGAGCCTTAATATTCAGCTCTTAGTAGTGTTCACTCAAGCTGTTGTCAGTTCTCAGAAATCTTCCCTTCCCACCACTCCGTCTTGCTCTCCCTTTCCTTCCCACAGCCAAACTGGTCTATTTGAGGGAGTGCTGTATTATAAATGGGACTGCAGAGTTCATAAATGGAACTGTGGGGTGGATGTGGGTGAGGGGAAGGTGTAGG